CAGGCAAGAAATCTAACAAAATAGAGCATGCACCCATGACCAAATCTCCCAGCAAACCAGAAACTGAGAACAGTCTTTTACTTTTTAAATATTAAAACTTACTTATTTAATATTAATGCTTGAAAAATTTTTTAATATTTAATTATTTTAAAAGATTTTACTTATTTATTTGAGAGAGAGAGAGAGAGAGAGAGCGCGAGTGCAAGCCAGGGGTGGGGGTAGAGGGAGAAGCAGACTACCCACCCAATGAGGACCCTGACACTGGGACTTGATCACGGGACCCTGAGATCAAGACCTGAGCTGAAGGCAGGTGCTTAACCTACTGAGCCCCCCAGGCTCCCCTAATATTTAATTTTTCAATGCTGTCATTCACAGATGAAGCAGAAATTAAAATATGTGAAAAGGTTTGTACAGTGAGAGCCTTCCTCCCATCCCCCACCGGCCTAGTTCCTCCCTCCTCCTCCCCACAGTCAGTATTTGTTCCTTAGGTGTTCCTTCACAGTCATTTTGTACACATACAGGGAAAGGAGAGTGCATATCCTCTCTCTTGCTTTTTAAACAGACCATAGCATACTGTGTACTCTGTCATTCACCTGGCATTTCCATGATGAGTTTTTCCTCGAGGACAAACATTTTTGCTCATTTCTGGTACCATTCGAGCTACCTTCCTATTTCTCTTTCTTTTTAAGCTGTTGAACTCCTCAGATGTGGGACCTTACAGCCATTTGTTAGTTGTATCTCCCACAGACATTCATGAAATAAATGTTGTAGTTAAGTGCGCTCTCTCTCTCTTTGTTTTTTAAGATTTTATTTATTTATTTGACAGAGACACAGCAAGAGAGGGAACACAAGCAGGGGGAGTGGGAGAGGGAGAAGCAGGCTTCCCACTGAGCAGGGAGCCCGACGCCGGGCTCTATCCCAGAATCCTGGGATCATGACCTGAGCCAAAGGCAGACACTTAATGACTGAGCCACCCAGGTGCCCCTGCAGTTGCTCTCTTAAAGATCCCTAGTACCTGATTTCCTCTTCAGACCAGTCGCTGTTCAGTCTTTGATTTTTATTTTATTTTATTTTATTTTCCGGTTCTTGCTCCTGTCACACAGCCATGATTCTTGGAAATCTAATACTTTGTCTTTCCTGCTGTACATTCTAAGTGTTCTTGTAAAAGGTAGAAGGATATAAGGAAAGGATTGTGGAGGCACACAGTCTGGGGAAAAGATACATTGTAAGGAAGAAGATAAAGCAGTTAATCTGTCTAAGGCCAAAGGATTTATTCTCTGTGGCTTCTAAAAGGAGCTAGTACTTTACTGTGGGAGGTTTCATGCTCTAGAGGAAAGACCAGGACATTGAGAGCCTTGATTTGAATTTTTTCTCTACCCTGTACTAGCTGTATGACCTTGGACAATTAATTTCGCTTTCCTATGGTTCAGTCTCTTCATCAGTAAACGGGTAACATCTTAATCACTTTTTTTTTTTTAATTTATTTATTTGTCAGAGAGAGAGAGAGCTCATGAGTTCAGGCAGGCAGAGTGGCAGGCAGAGGCAGAGGGAGAATCAGGCTCCCCGCCGAGAAAGGAGCCCGATGTGGGACTCGATCCCAGGACACCGGGATCATGATCTGAACTGAAGGCAGCTGCCCAACTGACTGAGCCACCCAGGCATCCCACATCTTTATCACTTTTTAAAAAGTGATAGTAAAATGGGAAAATATACATAAAGTGCTCAACATAGTTACTGACGTTTACTTATTTATTTATTTATTTATAGAGGGAGAGAAAGGGGTGGGGGTGGGGAGGAGCAGAGAGAATCTTATTCTTTATTTTTTTTTTTAAGATTTTTACTTATTTGACAGAGAGAGACACAGCAAGAGAGGGAACACAAGCAGGGGGAGTGGGAGAGGGAGAGGGAGAAGCAGGCTTCCCACTGAGCAGGGAGCCCGATGCCGGGCTCTATCCCAGAATCCTGGGATCATGACCTTAACGACTGAGTCACCCACGCGCCCCTGCAGAGAGAATCTTAAGCAGGCTCTATGTTCAGAACAGAGCCTGAGACCCAGGCCTTGATCTCACAACCCTGAGATCATGACCTGGGCTGAAATCAGGAGTCGGACGCTTAACTAACTGCGCCACCCACACCTTCTTAATCACTGACATTTTAATCACATTGAAGTTTGTTTTTGTTCCTAGGTCCAGGACTTGCAGAATTGGGGTACCCAATTCAAGGAATGAATGATTGCTGACTGGAATGTTGTCTTTGTGGAGCATATGTCAAATAAGATGGACCACTTAGACCTATCAGATCCATCAGCCCTTTCTTTTTCATAGATATGTAAATGATAGAGTCAGATGTCTTAAATGAATCTACTAGCATTTAAATCCTGAAAGCCAGTGTTTGGGCACAGGTGGTATATTTATATATTTTTCCACTTAACTTTCTGAAGGAGAAGATGTGGGTCAGGTGTGGTCAGTTGGCGGTGGTGACTGAAGAACAAAACTTGCCGCTGTGCTTAGAGTATCAGCTGATACTGTACTAGTTCCTTGAGAGCTAATGTATTACATCTTTTAACTACTAAAACCACCATTTTGGGCTAGGAAAATACTTGCTAACCTCATCAAAAAGCCTTCAGAATGAAATTTGAGGAGAGAGAAAAATTCCGGGTAAATAGTAAGGGAGCATGCCATAGGGTAGAGTTATAGAGACAGAAAACAAGATTGGATCAAGGACCTGTGTCTAATCACAGGAGGACACAGAGAACAAATGCTGAAGATTCCTGATGTGTCTGTATCATAAGTGCCCATAAATCTTGACAAAAGTAAAGACAGTCATGGATCCCACTGAGAACTGGTGAGAGGAGTTTTTAACTAGGCATTGAGTGCTTACTAGAGACACTGTGTTAAGTAAGCACCTTCATTTAATCCTAACAAAAATGGTACAAAGTAGAAGTACAGAAATTAATCTCCAGTTTTAAGGAGGGCACTGAGGCTGTAGAAGGTTAAGTAGTTAGAGCTAGTAATCTGCTTTTGATGGATGACATGACAACGATAGAAGTTCATTTGTTTACTGATTTTACTCTTAATCATATGTGTGGCTAGCTTGGTCCCTGACTTACCCAGGATTACAGTGTGAGTGAGCTCGCTCACTCTCCTTGCCTCCCTCACACAGAAGAGGGGAGAATGAGTCATGGTTGTGGTTGGCGTGAGTCTGTTTTGCTACTCCGTTAGCCACATGGCAGTCCTACTTGGAACAAAATGACAAGGGAGTATAGCAACAGTTATCTCCTTCCAACTTCTCACTGACTTCAGCAGTCACATACTCAACCTTGCTGGATCACCGGCAGTCATCCGTGATGTCACTCAGTTTGTTTTTCACTGCCTGCCTACCTGTGGCTCCACTCAGTTCCTCCGTCAGCAAGCCAGCTTAGAGTGTGATCTCACTGCGCTCCACCTTGTGGCATCCCTTGCAGTTTCCTCTGTGTTTGCTTGTCTTTCCCATTTCTCTTCTGCATCCCCAATGCCATCTGCTTTTCAGCCTGGATACATTATTTGCAGTTCCCCAAATGTCTGGTTCATGTTCCTTGAACCTTGCCTTGTCTGTCTGTTATTTATAATGTTCCCTCTGGGAAGCTTCCTCGCTTCCTCAGGGCAGAGTTAGAAATTTTCTCTTTGTCTGTTGATTTTCGTCAAGTATCTGATTTTTGGTTGTCTGTTGATAATTGTGGATGAAGGTTTAGGCTCTTGAATCTAGGGTTATTAATGTAGGTAACTGGAGTGAGTCTCCTCTTAACTTTTCTTTGAAGTTTCCTCATTCCTTAGAGGCTCCTACATTGACCAGAAAGTCTGGTACTGAGCTCTGTGTCTGAGAAGTATGGTGATTGGCAGGCTTCAGTCTAGGGTGTGATGGAGGAGAGTGGTGGTAGTTTCCAATAAAGAGGACTTTGATCTGGGGCACCAGAACTCCTGAAGGAGCCCTGCCTGCCTCCTGCCTTGGTTTTGTTTCTTTAGAGAGTGTTTCTTTGGTTTTAGGCAGGATTCAAGTGTAGCTGCTATGTGTAGCCATGTAGTCTTGGGGATGGAAAGTGGTTAGGAGGAGTTGAATAGCTGTGGCCTTTCTATTCCTTAGGCAGTCTTTTTGCTCCATGTCTATTTCTGCCTCCTAGCTCTGTTGGAGCCTCTCTAGAGCTCTGCCAGAGGGTGGCACATACATCCATTCAAGACTTTTCTTGTGTTTATTCTTGGGTTGTAGCTTTCTTTGCTCTTGTGTATGCCTCAGCTCGGAAGAGATATATATTACCTTGTTTCCTTTAATTTCAGTAAGGTGGAGTGGAAAAGAAGAGGCAGAACCATTTACACAGTCTGTCTATCATTTTGAAATCCTGAACCAGGGGTTCTGTTGACAACTTTCAGCATTTGTTATTTTAAGAATTGAAACAAACGTATATAATGAGTGTATTATTGATTCCCATGTACTGAAAGAATAGTTTGGAATATTTATGGGCTATGAAATTACTGTAAAGCTGAACTACATGATCTTTTTATGAATAACTTGTGTTTAAAAAAATAGTTAATAAAGCTTTTTAGGGCAAGGAAAGCCAACAGTACCCCACATACCTGGGCAGAGAGGATGGTGGGGAGGTCTGAGGCATTGCTACTAACTGCTAATTGATAGTTGGGGCCAGAAGCAAGGTAACTCTGGCTCACACAGTGTTTACATTCTAGAATCAGGGAGTGTAGCTTGTTTCCTAGAGTAAAATTTGCTAATTTTAGGTTGTCTTCCATGATATGACAAGAAGCTCAAAGCTCTGCTACTTTGACTTCCTAAAGCAGAGTACTAAGTAGTGTCTTCAGAGTTAGATGGAGGTTGCAAGCTGGGTTTTATTTTGATGAATGATAAAGAGAGTAATTTGCTATGTCTTCTAATAAGAGTGAAAATGAATCTGTATGCAACATTATTTTTATTTCTTAATACATTTTGGGAACGTTAATTGCAACTGTGTGGTTCAGGGATTTAGTGCAAGAAGAAGAACAGTTGATGGAAGAAAAGAAAAAGAAAAAAGACGACAAGAAAAAGAAGGAAGCTGCTCAAAAGAAGGTAGTATATATGTATCAACTATCTATGTTAAGCGGTCTAAACAGATTTAAAAAGAAAACTACTCTAATTGGATTTTTTAAAAGTATTTGATTGAATGTTTTAATTTCAGTGGAGATTCATTTTAATATTTAATGTTTTTGATTATGCATATGTGGTAACTTGCCAAGTGTATACAATTTAATGCATAGTTATTTAATCTTGCTGGTAGTTTTTTCAAAGGTAAGTGGTTTATATAGGTCTTTATCTTTCAATCAGCTCTTCCTAGGTTTTCATAATATATGCATCTTTCCATACGTGAGAGGAGCGAGCAATTTGTAGCTGCATTGAAATCTGGCTCTCCCACAGGGCGTGCTACACGGTGTGTCCTTCAGCTTTGTTTAGCCTCTCTGGGCCTTAGTTTCCTTATGTTTTGTCAGAGGAGAATTTAATTAAACGAGATAACATAATACACATAATGCACATAATAGGAAATGAAGTGTCAGTTTCCTTTCTACTTTTTGTTTAGTACCTGGGCTAATTTCAGGAATTTGCTGTTTACAGTAAGATATTTGAAAATAAGCCTAAGACATAATTTGCTGCAGAAGATCTCTAGCCTCATACACTGTCAAACTGTTAAAACAGTACAAATCATAGAAAAGGAAGGATTATGTTCATAATTATAAAGTTTTTTTGTTTTTGTTTTTTTTACAAATTAATAATCCTGATGACAGTGCTGGGCACTCATCTCCTACTGTATCAACATTTCAAGGACCTTAAAAATGTTCTAAATGACCCAGTGAAATCACTGTTCCACTTCTGTATCAATAGCAGTTCTGACTTTAATTTCTGACCTACACCTCTTTTGTGCCAGGCGCTGTATTACAGCTGTACACTTTTCTTCACATTATTTAGTAGGGAAAAACACAGCGTCCAAATCTGTGGTAGGTGGGGAGCTGTCGAAGACAGGGAACTGCTTGACTCAGCCTAGAATAGGACCAACGGAAGGGAAAATTTTCTTAGAGTTGAAATTAGCCAAGTGAACAAGGAGTGGGATAGAAAGGGATGCCAAGCAGAGTAAAATCCGCGGTAAGCGCCCACAGCCTTTTAGGAGCATGGCTTTTGATTGGTGGGAGTGGGACGCCAAGGGCGGAAGTGTCATAGGATGAGACTGTAGAGGATTGGTGTTAGCTGGGGACTCTTCTCCTGGTTTCAGCCGTTGAGTGTTGGGGAAAACACCAAAGACATTTCAGTAGACTGATGTAAAAGTTTGTGCTTGAGAATGTTTGTCTTAGCAAACCGTGGGCTTGAATTGGAAGAGGTAGAAATTAGAGGCTCAGATGCTGGTACAGGGACTGGCAAGAACCCACAGAGTTTGTTGGAAGAATATGAAGGGAGAGTGACTTCCGTTGATGCTTCTGTTTCAGATTGAGTGACAGGAGTACATCTTGGGAGGAGTTAACCAGGTAAGGGAATAGAAAGGGATAAAGAGAATTTCGTCCTGGAGTGCTGAGCTGACAGCATGATCAGCAACTACTTACAGGGTGGGAGGTGGGGGGCATTGGACGATGGAGAGTGTACAGGCGATAGGTGGCCCTAGGATTTAGCTTTTGCTTGCTCTCAGGAGTGACTGGGCGGGATGCATTGTCATAGGGTTTAGAATAGGTTTCTAGTATAGAGTTTTGGCACTGATGATGCCATAGACCTTTGTCAGAGGCCTGTTGGTACAGGCTGGTCTTTGCAGTGTGATCAGTCTTTAGCTGAGGATTTGTTGTGGTGTGGAAAAAATTGTATCCCCTGTAAGTTAAGGTTGGGGGAGGCTTATGAAACTCTTGGTCTGTGCTGTGAAGGCGATTTACTGACTGAAGAGAGCTTCTAAGAAACTTCAGAGACTTGTTGAAGAAGACGCTTAGGTGTACTTTATGTAGAAACGGTGGTTTGGCAAGCATCTGAGTGTTGTGTTAGCCTGTTGATCCTTGCTTCTAAGGAATTCAGTATGTAGCTTGAAAGGATGTCTGCGAAAGGCTAGAGAAGAAGCCTAAGGTACTATATAATGAAGTCTGTTTATTTAGGATTTACCCTATTTACTGAGAAAGTTCTGAGAAAGGGAGGTCATTGCTCAAATGATTTCTTTAAAAGTTACATTTTTATAATGTGTGATGTGAGTAAATTTTTTAAGGTTCTAACATATACAAATAATGGATGGCTGTAATTGCCAAGGTTCATCTTTATATTCTCTGATAACTAAATCTCTGACTCACCAAGTCAGTGTCTTTAACATGTGAATGATGACTTTGGGCCATTTAGCCTCTCACCAGATCTGAAATGACAGCTTTTATACTCTCTCCCACTCCAACTCTGCCTCACTCGGTTCCAGTCTCTCACCCTAACCATGTCCTACTGGAATCATCACAGAGGCTTAGGGATTTTGGGGAGTGTTTTCTTCTTTTGCTAGATCTTCAGTATTGGTAGGATATTCCTGTGTATCCTGTAGACACAGTAATATTTAACCACTGAACACAATATATATATTTTTTATTTTTTAAAAGATTTTATTTATTTGTTTGAGAGAGAGCAAGCACAAGTTGGGGTGGGGAGGGACAGAGGGAGAAGCAGAATCTCAGCTGAGCAGGGAGCTGCCTGTGGGGCTCCATCCCCTGACCCTGAGATCATGACCTGAGCTGTAGGCAGAGGCTTAACTGACAGAGCCACCCAGGCACCCTGTCCACTGAACACAATATAAAGGAAGTTTAATACCTCCAATAAATGTTAAGTGTAGTAGAGTAGACTGCTACTGTAAATAAGACTGTTCTTCAAATTCCAGATAATAAGCTTACAACTGAATTTGAGTAACACACTTTGGTGTAGCAAAGACAGCTGGTATTTCTATAGGCTATTACCAAATAGCTATTAAAAAAACAAAACAAAAAAGAATCCCAAGATGGCACACTTACAGCCCATATGAAAGACTGTGAGTCACAAGAGTTTTAAGACAAGTTTCCTCAAGCTTGTTTTTTGTCTGTAATAGGAGCCAGCAGGTGTATGCGGGTAGGTGGCAGACATCTACATAAGACAGGTAGGCAGGCCCATTTATATGAATGTTGGAACATAAAATCACTACAGTAAAAACAATCTGCAGGTTTCATGTAATGTATGCACATGTTAAAAATCTATATATTTTTATTCCTGAAAAAGATTTCAGGTAACTATCTGTTCGTTTTAGATAGAAAGAAGTTAAGCATTAAAATAAGTTGAAGAGGCCAACCATGGTTTTGTCAGGGTGACAGAACTAGGAATAGGAAGGGAAGCTGCTTAGACACCAACCACCCACCCTCCCCAACACTTTTCCAAAATTAGGGGCCATGCCATGGTGTTGTCCTTTGTACTTTTTTCTTCTTTTTTTAAGATTTTGTTTTTGAGTAATCTCTACACTGCATCTAGGGATTGAATTTACAACCGCAAGATTCAGAGTCGCACATTCCACCAACTGAGCCAGCTGGGCGCCCCTATCTATTCTTTATACTTTCTGCTTTATTTTTCACAACCTAAAGGTGAACTTTAAAGCCACAAATAATATATCGTGGTACTTTCTGTAAGGCATTTAACAAGTCTTTTTTCTGTGTGTACAGAAGCATGGTCCCTTTGTATTTTTTTAAGGAAATACACTTCGTATTTTTTTAAGGAATTCATATTCAGATCACAGGTTATTTTCTATTTTAAATAAAAACCAGGTAGCACAGCTCCTTCTATAAATGATGAGACACCAGCAAGGCTCACTATAATGTTTTTACTATGGTAGTTTTTTGTCTACTTAAATATAAATTTTAAGTATCTAAATTCCTCTTTGAAGAAATTTTACATGAAAATTACATGCTTTTCATTATATTTCAGCCTGGGTATATCTCTCACAATGAGATCAGTGACTGGACGGCTTTATTTTTTGTTCTGTGTTTTGAAAAGCTTTCTATTTCATATCTAAGAGGGCTGTTTACTTATCTCTTCTAATTCCAAGGCTTAGGAAATAATTTGTTACAGTATGGGAATGTAGTTTCTGCACTTAAAAAGGGCAACAGTGGTACCAGTAGCTTGTTAATCTCCAGGTTCTGTTTTTAGAAGAAATTTGTAGACGGAATCTTGAGAGAAATGTAATGAAGGGAAAAGGAGGTTGAGAAATAGCTTAATTATAGAGGGATAATTTAGTATAACCTTTACTTTAAGCATGTAATTGTAGTTCCTAGAAAGCATATAATGGTTGAGGGGCCGGAGGGAAGCAACAATACAAATAGGGATCTTTTAGAGTTGAGAATGTTTTAAGTCAGTGTTCATGACTATTTTTGTTACTGTGTTAGGAACTGAGGGGATTGTTACAGGCTTTGAGGATTTAAATGTACTCAGTTTGGGTGTAAGTGCGACTACGTTATAGAAAACCTCCAACTTTCATTCCCCTTTTCAGAAATTTTACTGTCAGTCATCATGTCTCCCAAAGTCCATGTTGGTCTGAGGATCCTATTCAGCAGAGCAATGAGCGAAAGTTTCTCAGTAGCCTGGGTGGTAACATAATCAGGCCTGGAGCAGGGCAGTCAAGTGTTCACAGGATTTCAGCTGACTAGTCTCCACTTGGTCTCAGTTCCCTTTTTTTTAAAAAACAAAAACAAAAAAAACCCAACAACAACACTGTATACAGCCGGCCTGAGGTCTAGGCTTGAGTGCTGCTTGCGAAGAAATCCTAGAAAAGCTTTCTGACTCCTAATTATCTCATTTAAAATAGGCGAACCTAGCCATCAATTCTTTTTTCCTGATGTTAGTTTGTAATACCTGGCACTGTGAAGATATGGTAGATGATTAGGAAAAGAGGAAAAAAAAAACAAAAAACTGGACTTGGGAACCTGGAGTGTGTTTGAGTTGGGCCGTTTCCCAGGGTGAATGGACCGAGCCAGGGTACTGGCCACTGTGGCTGGTGACAGCCGCAGAGGCTAAGACCTCTTGCATGCTTCCTGCATGCCCGGCGGGTCCTTAAGGGCCATTCTCCCCCCAGCTCTTCATGATTTAGATCCTTCTAGGCTCACAACAGCTCTGGGGTAGGTGTTTTTGTTCCTGTCCTACAGATGAGGAAACTTTGGTTTAGAGAAGTTAATTTTAATCAAGGTCACATCAGGTGTTAAATGGTGGAGCCAGGATTCAGGGTCTGACTTCAGACACTGAGCTCTTAGCCATTCAGGTACACATATGTAGGGAGCTTAGGGGAAAGTGGTGCGGAGCCTGACAGAAAAGGTGGCATATTGTGTGTTTGCCGCTTGTCTAATAGCTTCCTTCATGAAGTGAGGCGGTTGTAGTAGTTGCTTGTGGAATCACAGCTCAGGCTTTTTTTTTTTTCTTTTCTTTCTTTCTTTCTTTTTCTTTCTTTCTTTTTTTTGATAGTAAGTAGGCTCTGTGCCTAACATGGGGCTCAGACTCATGACCCCGAAAGCAAGAGGTGGATGCTCTACCGACTGAGCCACCCAGGCGCCTCTGTTTTTTGTTTTTGTTTTTAAGAAAAGGATACTCAATATGGAAATAATTTTTATAGATTTGACAGAATCCTTTAATTCTGTTACACAAGAAGGTACCCAGTGATAATCTCACATTTGAATAATACTGTAAAGAAAAAATCTTTCTGTGTTGTACTTGAGCCCCATAATAGCCCTGAATGATAAGCAGTACGGTCGTCCCCCAAAACCCCCATTTGAGGAATTGGGAAACTGAGACCCAGAGAGTTTGAATGACAAGGTCATATAAAAGTAAAAAGGAAATTTGAACTTAGTTTTAACATATTTTATATAAGCAAATACATATAAAACATTACTATTCTAACATGTAATCAGTATCAAATATTATTAATGCTAGTTTACCTTTTTTAAGTAACAAAAAGTACAAAACTGCTATTTTACACAAAGCAGTTTGGACTCGGTTTACTTCAAGGGTCAGTAGCCACATGTGGACAGGGCTGCCATTTTGAACAGTGTAGACAGACAGACACTCATAAAATCACCGATCCTGTTAGGAAAATTATCTTTTGAACAGTTTGAGTAATATGCTAGGTCCCTGGACCAACCCACAAAGCCTTATTTTAAAGAAGTGGCACTTGCTGAGTTCTGTTTCCTCTTAATCTGTTAGGAGCTCTTGGGTTCTGTTAAATTCCTTCAGTATATTAGTCAGTATTCTGACGGGCAGACACCTTTAGATGTCTTCTTTGTGGATGTGCCATTCTTTGTGGATGACAGAGTACTGAATGAGTAGACTGTTGTTCTGAAGCAATGTGGACTTGTTTTGGAGTTGTTTTTCTGGAGGAGTTGGAGACCACATATCCTTTATGTTAAGGCCAGAGAAAGCAACACTGTCTATCTTGGGGATACTGTGATCAAGGCTTCTGTATATTGTAACTTAGTTTCCGTTTGAAGTAAATTGTGGAAGAGACTAGGATAGAGTTTAAAAAAAAAAAAAAAAGATTTTCAGTATGTAAAATAATTTTTGTACTATAATGTTTTGGCTTCAGAAAATTATGTATTTTATTGTTTGCCATGGTACTTCTCATAATGTATTCATATACCAAGGTCTCTCTAATAAAACTGATCATCTACCCTCAGATTTTATTTTATTTTATTTTTTTTTTAAGATTTTATTTATTTATTTGACAGAGAGAGATCACAAGTAGACAGAGAGGCAGGCAGAGAGAGAGAGGGAAGCAGGCTCCCCGCCGAGCAGAGAGCCCGATGCGGGACTCGATCCCAGGACCCTGAGATCACGACCCGAGCCGAAGGCAGCGGCTTAACCCACTGAGCCACCAGGCGCCCTACCCTCAGATTTTAAAAACAATTTCTCCAGAAGTAAAATAAGTGTTCTAGCTAGTTAACTGGTGTTTTGCCATTGTCCTTCCATCAGTTTTGTTTTTGTTTTTTTAATTTTTGATCCATATGAAGTAAAAGATGGGCCTCCATTATTTAGCATAACACTAGTGCTCTAAAACTTGGTAAAGTTGCTCACTGTCTGGACTAACTCTGGCTCACTAGGGAAAGATTGTTTGGTATGGCTTGAGGATTAGGGTAATTGCCATAGAGTCCTTTACCATCTAGTTCTATAATGATCAAATTCAAAAAATGCTATTTTTAGTAACAATAATTTAATATGAGTAAGAAAAATTATTGTGCCCCATGGCACTTAAGGAAAGTTTTATCTTTATTTAGGAACAATTCCTGGTTATTGGCTACGAATTATTCAGTCTTTCCTCACCTCCCTGCCTGTCCGTGTACCTTTTATTTTTAGGACTCCCATGCAATTGGCCTTAACTAAAAAGTTGATTTTTGCTTGTGGCCTCTGTCTGTAATCTGTTCTTTCTTTTTGGGGCCCTTGAAGTTTGAGTGAGGTACCTTGAGGCAGCTCTGCTCTTACTATGTCAGAGATGGTGGACAACGGGGCAAGTGTGGCAAAGCAGGGTTGGCATCAGTTTAGCTTCTGAACACAGTAGTTTTAATGAATTATCAGATGTGTCAGAAGTGACAGATATGTTTGAAATTTTTTCCCACTCAAAAATACTTAAAAGTTAACTACGTTTACCTGAAAGAGCAGCCTAACCTCCAGGAGTTAAATTTATTACTGATTTGGCCAAGTGGTTATATTCAGCTTTTCTTCCAGAAAACTTAATTTATTTTTTTATCATTTGAAATAAGAATTTTTGAAACCATTTAAACTTATGCAAAACTTAATAGATCCATTAAATGTTAAAGGTGACAGTTACAGGAAATTCATTTAAAAATTAAATAATGAGAAATGTGCAGTGCCATTTTTTTATTATTTACTGTCATTCAATGATGTCTTCTCTGATCTGTATCTAAAGAAACATTTCAAACATTCTCTATTAATAAACATTGTATCAGGGACAATGGGGCACATCTGTGGGAAAAGCATGCTTTCTTTGCATATCTTTTCCTATGCAGTTCACCTAAATGACAAATTCCTTATTTAATAAAAGTGTATATGTCTTATATAATAGTAATATATTAACATTTTATCATAACAATCCATTTCTTTCAGTTTCATATTTACATTGTTTTTTGTTTGTTTGTTTTTATTTTAGGCCACTGAACAAAAAATCAAAGGTACGTTGTTTAAAGCTATTTTTATCTTTTTTTTTTTTTTTTTTTTTTTTTTTTTTTTTTTTTTTTCATTAAAGCAAGGTTGTTGATATGCATTTTTATTCACCTCCAGGATTGGGAGAGCCAAGAGCATGAAAGAACAGAGGGGTGGGGACAGACTTCTTCAGTGACATACCTTGGAGTCATCTCTTGGGGTTAATGGTTTACTATATTACTGCTCTCAAAATATGCTGCCTTGAGACCTGCCTTACACTGTCTCCTAGGATGGGCACCACTTCTTGACATACTGCCTTGATTTGAGTCTTTGAGCACATGTATCTTCCCTTCAGCCTCTGTGTAAAAAAGTCTTATCTGGGATTATCTCTGGGACTATTACCTCATCCTTTGGTTTATTCCTTGGTCTCTGTAAACAGTTGTCTCCCACTCCTTCCTGGAGGCAGACCATGATACCCACTCTATATTTAATTCCTGAAAATAGTAGATTGCTAACCTGATGGTCATTTTGCCAGGCTGAGCAGCTCCCAGTACCTGTCAAGCAGGAGCCTTCAGGCTGCTAAGGAAACAGGAACATCATTCCTCTCAGATCCTGAATCAGGAATTCTTCACCCTCCCAAGAGTTGACTACCTGGTAATGAAAGGTGTAGGGCTCTCAGATGCTAAACTTTTTAGGCTTGAAGATCCAGAATTTTCACGTGTAGCTATATCAGAAGTACGACCTCTGCATTTGGTTGAGAAATGCAGCTCAGTACTGCCTGATTTTATTTGAGGTCAGCATTTTGTTAAAGTAACATTTATGAGCTGCAAGTGTCTAAGAGTGAACAAGAACAGTCTTAGCTTATATTTTACCGGAGAAAGTGGCAGTAGAGGGAAACACCTAAACACAGTATAGTATAATATGATTTGCTTCAGGTAGAAATGCCGTTGTTGTCCTGGAACACAGAGGATTAATGAGTAGTTTATTTGACACAGGGGGTTAAGGAAAATCTCCTTGAGATTATGAATCTTAAAAGATGAAACAGCCAATCCAAGAAGAGATGAAATGACAGAGGGATCAATCAGCATGATTGAAGGTACAGAGACAAGAAATAATGTGGTGGTATTTGCAGTGGATAGTCCTAGAGCTTTAAATATCCAGCAATGAATGGATGGGGTAGAAGGGTTTCTCTGAAGAGATAAGTAGGGGTTAGGTCAAGAGAAGGCCTTATATGCTCTGTGTACTAAGGAACTTAGACTTCTGTGTTATAGGCAGTTAGAAGCCACTGAAGAGTTTAAGCAGAAGAGTGACTTGGGTTGGTTTTTTGTTCTTTTTTAAAAAAGCTGTCAGACACTGCATGAAAGTGTTGGCTGAAAGATGGAGCGAAGAGAAGAAAGGCACTCTCTGGGCAGAGGAAGCAGGTGGACAAGAAGAGGGAATATTCAGAGAATAAGTGTGGAGATGTTGGGGGGAAGGGACAGAATGTAGGCCTGGAGGTAGGGGGAAATCATTGGGCTTCATACTGGTTAGAGAGAAGGGAGCCAGCCTGGGTGATGTATGAAATTGGTGAATCACTATATTATACACTTGAAACTCATGTAACACTGTGCATGAACTATACTGGAATCAAAATAAATAAACTACCAGTTTGAGTTGTAGAAAAAGAGAGTGGTGAGCCGGCGAAGGTCACAGGCGTAAGCTATGCCTAGGAGCTTCTCCTTGTCAGGACTGTCTAGCACTCACCAACAGAGTGCAGCACCAGAGAGGGAAGTGGGGGAGTAGAGAGGGTAAAGACGATTTGAACTGAGGTCTTGGCAGCAGGGGTGGGAGACGGATGGAAGATGTAGGAGGTCTAGAATTCTCAGGATTGTAACTGGTGAGATCAGAGGGGGAATCAAAGTTCAAATGTGCCTTTGAATCTGGACGTGTAAGAAAGTTATAGGGGTGTGGAATGATGTAGGGGGGTTCCAATAATTTGTTGGAACATGACCAAATTCATCTTCTTCAAGCTCAGTTTTCACACACCACTCCCCTCTATAGGGATGTTAAGTTGTCCCTTTGCTCTGCTTCAAGACCAAACTCCTCTGCTTGGCTTTCAAGGCCCTCTTTAATCTGACCTCCTGAGATCTAACCAGCCTGTTGTCCCTCATTCCTTTATACTTTTCAGAGCATTCTCATCTCTTTCATGTTCATTCCTGTTTCTGTCTCTTTTTCTTAGCCAAGGAGGCCTTTTAGGCTTTCCAGACCTCACAGAGCTCATCTCTTGAAGGATCACTCCAATGGCCATGGATTCTCCCTTCCCGATTTCTTAGGATGTTATGATGTGTCTTAAATTTGGGCCACTTGATTATAGTCCATCTTAGAGTTTTGACTGGCCCATGGGTGTTTGTTTCTCCAGCATGATCTTTGAATGCCTGCTGTTTATATCCTTTCCAAATGTAAATCATCCTCTTACATCCATACATGAAATATGAATGTATTTGAATCTTCTTGATTTTAAACTTTACAGAGTTCTGAGAATGTTAGGTTACTCAAATGTATGAAAGTCACTTCAAAATGTATTGTTGCTTTGACAGCTGTTTTACTCCACCCTTTTCGATGGCAGTTCTGTGATTGGCCACATTGTTCTGGTGTATGAAAATGTATTTATTTTTGTGCCGTGTATAATGTCTGTGTTATCTGTGATTTGGGGTTCATGGTGATTAGAGATTACAAACTGGAAATTTGTGGGACAGGTTTGGCACACACAGTAATTAGGTTTACTGAATGTTTGGTTTTGGAATAATCTATGACTTACAGAGAAGTTGAAAAGGTAGTAGGGAGTTTTCCCACATACACCTCACTCAGTTTTCCCATGATTGACATCTTGCATTTCTGTGGCACCTTTGTCAAAACTAAGAAACTGATATTCGTATTAATGGAACTCCAGACTTTATTGAGATTTCCCTCTGTCTTCCGTTAACTCATTTCTAAAATCCAGTACCAGATACACAGATGCATCTAGTTGTCCTGTCTCCTCAGTCTCCTCTGGTCTCCACACAGTGTGTTGGTTACCCTTTACGTTTCCCATTAGCAGCATTTATAAATCAGGAGATTCTGCATAACCAAGAATTGCAGTTTCTCTTGCAGTTTTTACGGTCCACATCACTTTTTGTCCTTCTGTAGTAGAGTCTGTATCAGGCCCGGATCTGGTAACGTCTGGCTGTCAAGTACTTGAAGGAAACAGGGCTGCTGTGACTGGGGGACTGAATTTTGAATTTTTATTAGAGTCTTTGTGATTGTCAGGAGTCCCCCTCTTAGTGTTCAGACTGAGCATGACTAGTTAGGCTGCAGCACTCTCTATGAATTCTGCCTAAATGAGCTGTTCTTTCTAAGGCTACTGCCATTTCTGGTTAAATAACACTAATGTTGCTTCCGCCCAGTGGTAAGACAGTTTGTGTAAAAGTTGGGGTCTTGTAAAGTATCATAAATTAAATTCTTTTTTTATTTTTTAAGATTTTATTTATTTATTTGACAGACAGAGATCACAAGTAGGCAGAGAGGCAGGCAGAGAGAGAGGAGGCAGCAGGCTCCCCACTGAGCAGAGAGCCTGATGGCGGGGCTCGATCCCAGGACCCTGGGATCATGACCTGAGCTGAAGGCAGAGGCTCAACCCACTGAGCCACCCAGGCGCCCCTCATAAATTAAATTCTTGACCAACTTTCATACATGGAGACAAGTTGATGTTTATTTCCTGGTACAGTGGATTCATAACTCATCTAATGAAAATGTGGACCAGCATAATGCGAGACAGAATGCAATTCTTGAAAGTTTTATTCTTACCTTGTGACTTGAACTTTGAAAAACTGTTAAGGAGCATGCATATTTGAATGTTTGAATATTTGAAATGCTTTAAAATATGTATGAATATCTCCTTGAAACAGCAGGGGAGTGAAAAGCTGAAAAATTTATGGTGAGGTATAGGAATAGATGGATACATTTTAAGATGTCCTGTGGCCTTACATAATGTAAAGGAAGAGAAGAAGTTAATATTCTGTCTTCAGAATGCCTTTGGGAACTTGATTAAGAAAAGTAATTTTTCAGGGCACCTGGGTGGCTCAGTCGTTAAGCATCTGCCTTCAACTCAGGTCATGATCCCAGGGTCCTGGGATCGAGCCCCGAATAGGGCTCCCTGCTCATTGGGAAGCCTGCTAACTCTCCCACTCCCCCTGCTTGTGTTTTCTCTCTCACTATGTCTCTGTGAAATAAATAAATAAAATCTTAAAAAAAAAAGGTAATTTTTCAAAAACTGCTTTTCAGCTCTGACACTGACTTGTTTAAGAAGCATGCTCATTATACATTCCTTGCAAAAGAATAAGCGCTGTTAATTTTTGACAGCTAACACCTCTCTCTCTCTCTCTCTCTCATCCACTCCCCTCCCCTTCCCCCCCTTCCTCTTTCTCATGCTAGTGCTTTCTTCAGGTGATTTTATAAGCAGGTTATATCCCATAGAATAACAAACCCCAGAGCTCTGAAGACAGGTGGAAGGAGGCTGAGATGGAAACAGGAATGGAGAATAGTGGATAAAGATTTTTTTTGTTTTCTGGTAATCCCTTGGGGAAGCATAGCTTATTGCTGCTATTCTCTTTCTGGACTAATTAAAAATTCTTAATGAAAATTGAGTCCGCATTTACAACACATGTTTGTTCCTTGCACATTTGGAAGCCATTATTCTTGCTCAGTTCTTTTTTTTTTTTTTAAATTCTTTCTCAGTTCTAGCCTCACAATTTTTTTTTCAAAGATTTATTTTATTTATTTGAGAGAGAGAGAGAGAACAACAACCAGAGGGAGAGGGCAGAGGGAGAGGGAGAGAGAATCCCAAGCAGACTCTGCGCTGAGTGCGGAGCCAGATACGGGACTCGATGCCATGACCCTGAGATCATGACCTGAGCTGAAATCAAGAGTTGGACACCCAGCTGACTGCGCCACCCAGGTCCCCACAATTTTTTTTTTAAGTCGAACATGATTTTATTGCTTAGCTCCATTGCTC